CCCACCCCTTCCCAAATCCCCCGCCCCCCCTCTTCCCACCCCTGCTCCGCCCCTGAGGACTGCAGCAGGGCCAGGCCCCAAGCAAACATAAATAAATAAATAAAACCTCTGGGAGCGCAACTGCCGAAAAAAAAAAAAAAGAATGTCCGGAATGCCGCCCCAAGCATGTGCTTGGTTTGCTGGTGCCTAGAGCCTGTCCTGGCAGCCACGCCCCTGGTGAGTGGTGGGGGGTGGTTCCCCCCTGCCCCCAAGCCAGCCCCCCCATGGAGGACTGGGCCCCCCTGTGGGGGGCTGCATAGAGCCCCAGAATAGCTAGGGACAGCCCTGCCTGCACCCCCAGCTCTCTCAGTGCACCTCACCCAATCCTGCATCCCAAACTCTGCCAATGCACTCCAATCCCCTTGTGCCCTCCATCTCTACCAGTGCACCCCAACCTTCCTGCATCCAACAGCTCTTCCAGTGAAGGAGACAGGTGTGCATGTGAAACTGTACTGGCACAAAGAGCCAGGGGTGGGGAAGAGACAGGCAGTGACAGGAACAAGTTGGATGTGGGGGAGGTCAAGTTTGGTGGGTGGGAACAGGCAGAAGGCCTGTGCCCACTACAGCACACTCCCCGCCACAGCCTGGCATGGAGCCCAAGATCCCTGTGTTTCATCCCTCCTTCTCTTGTCCAAAGACTAGTGAAACCCACTGGCAAATGTGCGTCTCACCCCCTCGGGCTGGCCGCACAGAGGATGACAGCCTACTGCTGCTGCAGTCACGCCACTGGCGCGGGTATCAGAGCTCTAGGCAGTGGAGCCAGGCTGACTGAGGAACTGCTTTCACGCTGCTTCCCAGGAGACGCTTTCAAATCCCGCCCCACGAGCACAAGGGGGAAGGGCGCGAAGCGAGCGCCAAGCCCCTCTCTAGGACAGACCAAGCCCTGCGCAGACAGCATTGAAGAACTTGCAGCGCAGGCGCAATCGGGAATTGGGAGGGCGGTGAATGGGAAAGGGTTCCGCGCATGTGCAATAGGAGAAGCGGGGGGGGGGGGGAGAATTGGTTCTGCGCTTGCGCAGTGAGCCTGAGGTGCCGGACTATCGCTCTACGATTCCGGCGTCGAGGTCAGCGTCTGCGCATTGGGCGCCTGTCAGTGGCTTCCTGGGAGCTCGCAGCGCAGGTACGAAGTGGCGGCCTTCGAGGCCGGTGTCGCTCCGCCTGGCCCCTGCGGGGAGTCGGCTGCGGATGGGCCCGGTGGGCTGCAGGCAGGACCGGGCTCTGGGTCAGGGGAGTCCCCCACGCGGGGCCGGGCGCTGCGGGAAGCCGCCCCCGCCACAGCCGGCCCGGGTGCGGGGGAGGTTGGGGGATGGGAGTGGGGCGGGTCAGGCTGGCCCAGGTGGGTTTGGTGCGGGAGGGGAGGGGGTCAGGCTGGTCCTGTGGTGGGTTTGGTTGTTGTCTCGTTGGCATGATGAGCTGTGCAGATATTGTGAGGAACAATAGTTCTCCTTATCTCTGTGTGTGGTGGTATGACCCTAACTCAGGACAACTTGGGGTCCTGTGCAGGTCACAACCACCATCAGGTCCTTTTTCTTTGTGCCGTTGAGATGCAGGTGCAGTGGGATAGATCAGATAGGCCCTTTCTGTGTGGTATGCTTTCAAGTAGAGTTCAGGTGTCCTTGTATTATTCTCGGCTCTCTGTGAGCTGAGGGGTGAAAACATTATCTACTTTCTGACCTTGGAGGGTTCTGGTCTGAATTTTAGGATTTGTTATCTTTTATTTGCAGAGGCCAGTGCAGAAGAGTAGCCAGGGAATCTTTGAGCAGCCCTCTCCATTGCTCATGGCTTATGTAGTCCAAATATCACCTGTTCAGTGTGGGAAGCAGTTTTAAATGTTGCCCTGTTACTTCCCTGATATGGTTGCTGTCCTGAAGAGCTTGTGCATTAGGGGCCTCTCCTGAAGCACAGAAGAAAGAGAGGGGAGGGTGACTCAAATTAGTCTTTACTCGTCTTTCTCCTCTTAGTTCCTTACCACTCATGACAAAATCCCAATTCTCCCTCATGTCTTGCAACGCTCTGCTCCCCATCTCCTCTCTTCTCTGTCCCTTGAAAAATGTCACTCATAATTCAGTTTGTACAAACTTGTTTTAAAACAAGTATTGTAACAATTTAGATATCTATATTCGCTCCCTTTGTGAAAGCACCTTGAGCACTTTTCAACGTATTTCAATTCACCTAATACAAGTACTGTAGTGCAGTCTTTTTATAGTGGAAGTTGAACTTACAAACGTAGAATTATGTACAAAAACTAACTGCATACAAAAATAAAACAATGTAAAACTTTAGAATCTACAAGTCCATTCAGTCTTACTTCAGATAATCGCTCAGACAAACAAGTTTGGTTACAATTTGTAGAAGATAATGTTGCCCATGTCTTGTTTACAATGTCACCTGAAAGTGAGAACAGGCGTTCACGTGGCACTGTTGTAGCGGGCACCGCAAGATATTTACATGCCAGCTGCGCTAAAGATTAATATTTCCCTTCATGCTTCAACCACCATTCCAGAAGACATGCATCCATGCTGATGATAGGTTCTGCTCGATGACGATCCAAAGCAGAGCAGACTAACGCATGTTCATTTTCATCATCTGAGTCAGATGCCACCAGCAAAAGGTTGATTTTCTTTTTTGGTGGTTCGGGTTCTGTAGTTTCTGCATCAGAGTGTTGCTCTTAAGATATCTGAAAGCATTCTCCACACCTCGTCCCTCTCAGATTTTGGAAGGCACTTCAGATTCTTAAACCTGGAATCGAGTGCTCTATCTGTTCTTAGAAATTTCACATTGCATTTTGTCAAATCTGCTGTGAAAGTGTTCTTAAAACAAACATGTGCTGGGTCATCATCCGAGCCCGCTATAACTATGGCAGAAATATATGGCAGAATGCAGGTAAAACAGAACAGGAGACATACAATTCTCCCCCCAAGGAGTACAGTCACAAATTTAATGAACGCATTATTTTTTTAATGAGCATCATCAGCATGGAAGCATGTCCTCTGAAAT